AGGCAGGAGACTCGCTTGAGCCCAGGAGTTGGAGGTTGCTGTGAGCTGTAATGCCACAGCACTCTACCCAGGGGGACAGCTTGAAGCTCTGTCTCCAAAAATAAATAAATAAATAAATAAATAAACTCCCAGGTACTTTATTAAGAGCTGAGATTGTGACAACAAGGTAACATGAGCATTTCAGGAAATATTTAACTGTCATTATAGTAAGTGCTACAAAGTGCTACACTCATGGCAACGACTTTAACAAAAGGTTATGAAATCCATTAAGCCTGGAATCTGGGGTCTAATTACAAGGAGCTTTGAATTTCAGAAATGATGTTAGAAGTTCATGAGCAAAGAAAAACCATGACAGACGTGTATTTCAGAATAGTTTATCTAGCAGTAGTTTAACACCGCTTGACATAAATTACTAGAGGAAATGTAAGAGTACTAGAATAACCCTAAGTTGAAATTCAGAAGTGTCGAATATAGCTACAAAAATATAGAACAGAAAAAATACAGGAACAGTCAGAGACAGAATCACTGGGTCTTAGTAACTGACTAAATGCCGAAGACAAAAAAGAATCGACTAGTAATAGGTAATCAGGAATCTTTAAGTCCTAATAAATATAAACAGTGGCAACAGCATAAAACAAAGTAGACTATGTAAGAAGTAATTTTCAAAAAAGTCTGAAATTTGAGAAGCTAAGTCAATGCTAAAGTTAAAATCTGTGAGTTAGCTACAGAAAGGAGAGCATGTATCCCTGAGTAAAATGATCGTATATAATTCAAAATTAATTCCACTATACGTACCCCTTGAGCTGGTGCTCCACCAACCAGGACCATATTTGCAAATATTTCTTCCTCATTTAAACTCAGGCCCATGTACTGAGACAGCTCTGGATACAGTTTAGGGTAGAGATCTAATATAAATAAATAAATACACCAATGAATAAAAAAGAATGCACAGAACAAAAACAGAAACTACTTTTATTACGGGTTTCTATTTGTGTTAAAAAATTATATTTAAGTCATAAAACCTAGGATGAATTTAAAGTAGCAATTTGGAATGGCACCTCGCCATCTTTTTAATGACAATTAGAAATGAGAAAATACAGAAAATATTTAAGGTGAGAGTCATAAAATATGAAGACATTTGAACAAAAACAATGTCATATTTCTAAATATCCAAAAGTAGAAATAATTTATTGAATAAATTAATAAATAATTACTATTTATCAGTAAATAGACCTCTTCTGAATGAATGGCAAAGCTTTTAAAATTATTTAGTGTCATATCATTTTAATAATGCTAACCACATGCCAATGAAATCCTAGAAACGGTAACTTTGAAGATTAAAATTATTCAACTTACTAGTAGTTATGTAATATTTATAAAACCTCTTTTTAAACATGATTTATCTATGACTTAAACTGAACTTTCTTTTCTTTTCATTTTATTTTTTGAGGGAGAGTCTTCTACTCTGTCACTATGGGTAGAGTGCCATGGCATCATAACTCATAGCAACCTCAAACTCTTGGGCTCAAGCCTCCTAAGTAGCTGGAATTACACGGAGCTACTACCACACCCAAATGGTTTTTCTATTTTTAGTAGAGACAGGGTCTCACTTTTGCTCAGACTGGTTTTGAACTCCTGAGCTCCAGCAATCTACCTGCCTAGGCCTCCCAGAATGCGAGAATTTTAAAGTGAACTTTCTAAAAGAAACAATGTTAAAAATGGTTATAAGCCAAGATGACAGGCCACAAAAACCTATTTAACACTTATTTTCTATCTTAAAATGTATTATTTAGGGGCTCTGTACTGAATTCCTCTGAACCTCGAAAAAAAAAGAGACCAGAAACAGGGTATGGAGACTGGATAGAGACTTCCGGAAGCACCCCAAAAAGGAGGTGGCTGGAAAATTTCAGAAGCTCCTGGGTAGGGCGCCGGCCCCATATATGGAGGGTGGTGGGTTCAAACCCAGCTCCAGCCAAACTACAACAAAAAAATAGCTGGGCGTTGTGGCGGACGCCTGTAGTCCCAACAACTTGGGAGGCTAAGGCAAGAGGATCACCTAAGGCCAAGAGCTGGAGGTTGCTGTGAGCTGTAATGCCACAGTACTCTACCGAGGGTGACAAAGTGAGGCTCTGTCTCAAAAAAAAAACAAATTTCAGAAGCTCCCCTGACAAAGAAAGAGGACGGTTCATAAAGTTCAAAACAGTGGCCAGGCGCAATGACTCACACCTGTAATCTTAGCACTCTGAGAGGTCAAGGGGCATGGATTACCTGAGCTTAGGAGTTCAAGACCAGCCTGAGCAAGAGCGAAACCTCCATCTCTAAAAATAGCCAGGTGTTGTGGCCAACACCTATAGTTCCAGCTACTTGGGAGACTGAGGCAAGATTATCACTTGAACCCAAGAGTTCAAGGTTGCTGTGAGCTATGATGCCACGCACTCTACCCAGGGCCACAGAGTGAGACTGTCTCAAAAATGAAAAAAATAAAATTCAAACATAGCAGCATGAGGCAGCTGTACTTATCAGCCATATTAGGGACCGAAAGAGTCAATTTCCATTAAGCCATAAAACACATCTTCCTTTTCACAGTTCACTCTTTTGATTAGCTGAAGTTATTTTTTTCAAATTAGCTTTTTTATTACTACTAGAGCTTTATTATTATTATTATTATTATTGGGGATTCACTGAGGGTACAAGAAACCAGGTTACACTGATTGCATTTGTTAGGTAAAGTCCCTCTTACAATTGTGTCTTGCCCCCAAAAGGTGTGTCACACACCGAGACCCCACCCCCCTCTCCCTTTCCCTCTCTCTGCTCTTCCTCCCCCCACCTTGCTCTGTAGAGCTTTTCTTGAAATAAACTTATTTTCCTTTTTACTACTAGAGCATGACCACCAATTTTATGTAGTCAACAGAAAAAAGTCTTAGATTCCATATTTCAGCAAAAGAAAGCTTACTAAATACTTCCACTCACAGAGAATAAACCTCCAATATAAACTTACTTCCATCTTGAGAGACAGGAGCAGAAGCTTCTGACAAAATTGCTGGGTTGGCAGGATTTGCAGAAAAGGCAGTCTGAGCCTGAAAAGGAAAAGAAAATTCTAACAACATGCTAAAAATACTTACTTAAAATTCTCATATAATTTATAAGTTAAATCCAATACTTCCACAAAGAAACTAAAACACTGAAGTTTTACTTAAGAAAGTTATCATTTCGGCTCGGCACCTGTGGCTCAAGTGGCTAAGGCGCCAGCCACATACACCTAAGGTGGCAGGTTTGAATCCCCAGCCCGGGCCCGCCAAACAACAATGATGGCTGCAACCAAAAAAAAAATGGCCGTGTGTTATGGCGGGCGCCTGTGGTCCCAGCTACTTGGGAGGCTGAGGCAGGAGACTCGCTTGAGCCCAGGAGTTGGAGGTTGCTGTGAGCTGTGATGCCATGGCACTCTACCCAGGGGGATAGCTTGCTTGAGGCTCTGTCTCAAAAAAAAAAAAAAAAAAAAAAAAGTAAGTTATCATTTCAAGACAGGCACAGTGGTTCACACCTGTAATCCTAGCACTTTGGGAGGCTGAGGTGAAAGGATGACCTATGCTCAGGAGTTCAAGATCAGCCTGAACGAGAACAAGATCTCATCTCTACTAAAATAGAAAAATTAGCTGGGCATTGGGCTGGGTGCCTGTAGTCCCAACTACGTGGGAGGCTAAGGCAAGGGAATTGCCTGAGCCCAAGAATTTGAGGCTGCTGTGAGCTGTGATGCCACAGCACTCTACCCAAGGCCAGGGTACAGAGTGAGACTGTTTCGATAACAATAATTTAGTGTAGCCCGGGTTACAGTGTATAGAGTCTACAGCAGTGTATACTAATGTCCTTGGTCTCCAGAGTCATTCTCCATCTCCCACTGTCCCACACAGAGCAACACACTATCCTATAAGCTCCTTTATACATTATGCCTTTTTAAAATATTTTATCCTGTATTTTTACTGCACCTTTTCTGTATTTAGAGATATGTTCAGATACATAAATACTTATCCTTGTGTTACAACTGTCTACAGTATTATGTACAGGTCTGCAGCCTAGAAGCAAGAGGCACTATCACATAGCTTAGGTGTGTAGTAGGCTGTATCAAATAGATTTGTGTTAAGTGTATGCAAGGTATTTGTACAATGATGAAATTGCCTGAGAATGCATTTCTCAGACCAAATCCCTCTCCTTAAGCAACATATGACCATATACGTGTCATTATACATTTGTCAAAACCTATAGAATAAATGACACCAAGCATGAACCCTAATGTAAACTATGGACTTTGGGTGATAAAATACATCAGCGTAGGCTCATCAACTGTTGACGTACCTACCACTCTGGTGCAGACATGAGTTTGTGAGGACACAAGTGTACCATATTTTCTGCTCAGTTTTGTTGTGAATCTAAAACTGCTCTAAAACAGCTTATTCATTTAAAAAATACCACTCCTTTTTATAGAAACTATTACTTTTTATTCTTTCATTGCTATTGTTCCTATCCAATCTCTGTAAGTTGACCACCGGGACTGTGACAAACTGGCCGTCATAAGGAACGAAGCCTGTTGGACTGATACGTGCGTGTGGTGCACGCCCAGTCTATGAACCCAAGGTCAAGTGAAGGAGGTGGTCATGTTGGGAAGTGTCAACTACACAGTTTCTACTGTATCAAGAAAACTACAAAGTTATGTAAACTTAATTCTGTAATAAGCAAAAGTATTATTAAAGAAGGATGTGACAAGAGTTTCAGTATGTGTACTATCCACTATTAAAATGTAGCTCACTATTTCAAATCTACTTTGAAATCTGAAGCCGCTTAAAAAGGGGGGCAGCGGCAGGTAGTACCCCCGGAAGAGTAGTTCCTCCAGGGTGTGCTGCATCGGCCCCTTACAGAAAGTATGTGAGGAAACATGTTCTGTGAAGTCACTTCTGTCACTCCTGCTCTCTACACAGGAAATGACAGGCTCCGGTTCTATATACTGTTGTTTCTTAAAAGCTCAATTTGTATAGGTGGAGGCTCCTGTTAGGATGCGGAATGGATAGAAAGGTTCATGATACTGAAAGCACAACCTACTGGCCATTGGCGTACAGTTTACAAAACAAACTGTCAACTCACTGCTGTAATTTAGTTTTGTTGTAGTATAAAAGGCAAACAGATGAGAAAATGAATACTATCTTCTCCCACAACTTTTCAGAAGAATCGGATTTAAAAAAAAAAAGGTGAGATCCACCATAAAAAATGAAGCAAAAAATACAGTTCAAGAGTTTAATGACTTTAATTGGGAACATTTTAAAATCCAGTGGGGGATAAAACCACATTTCCCCTTCTTTACGCAATGCTCTATCTCTATTTTCTGCTCTGAAAATAAAAGGTCCTTCAATGCAAATATCCACATAATTTGCTTCTCCTTAAAGAGGTCAGACTGATGTAGACTGTAGTCCTCTCTGTTTTTCAATCCAACATTTGTTAATATAAACTCTTCTGTTGTTTTCAGAATCAAAAGCCTCTGCTCAAAGCTAACTATGGTTAATTTTATTCCGTTAAATGTTAATTTAAAAAAGATGAGGAAAAAAAAGATTCTTTCAGATCTACGTGCAAATTCTTATCAGTTAAGGTACTGATGTCATACTAATGGCTTAATGGTTATTCTGGAAAGAAAGTATTTCAGATAAAAGCTCTTCAGAAAAAAGAATGCTTATGGAAATAAAACCACATGAAGAAAACTCTGTAATACTGAAGACATGATGGAACTTGTAAAAGTGACTTAACGGGCCACTTAAAACTTTAAGGCATCAAAGCCTTGGCAGCCAAACTGTAGACATCAGAGACTTTATAAACCACATCTTTTTTCCCTTTTTTTGAAACAGAGTCTCATGTGGCCCTTGAAAGAATGTCGAGGCGTTACAGCTCACAGCAACCTAAACTCTGGGCTTAAGCCATTCTCTTGTCTCAGCCTCCCAAGTAGTTGGGACTACAGGCACCCACCACAACGCCTGGCTACTTTTTGTTGCAATTGTCATTGTTGTTTAGCTAGCCCGGGCTGAATTCAAACCGCCATCCTCGGTGTATGTGGCTAGCGCCATAACCACTGTGCTATAGGCATCAAGCCTATGAACCACATTTTAATTTCTATATTGGATCTATGATGGAAAATAACTCATTTGTTCCTGATTCCCTCCCTGCACATAATAACTGGCCCATCCTGTATTCTTCAGGTTGCTTAAGACTTCATACAACTTTTCGGCTCATTAATCAATTATTATTTATTTATTTATTTATTTATTTTTGCAGTTTTTAGCCAGGGCTAGGTTTGAACCCACCACCTCCAGCATATGGGACCGGTGCCCTACTCCTTTGAGCTACAGGTGCCTCCCTCATTAACCAATTATTAAGAAATTATGGTAAATTGAGGTTAGGGCCTCCAGTACATTGATCTTCAGGATAAGGAGTTTTTGGATTATCTTGTCAAATTAAAAGAATAAAACAGCAGCTAAACAGGTTTTGAGCTTGTAAGACATTAAGCTGAAAGCAAACTGTAAACAGATATGTTCATTGCACACTGTAAATTATCTCCAGTTTTGGGCCAGGCATAGTGACTCAGGCCTGCAGTAATTCCAGAACTTTTGAAGGCTGAGGTGGGAGGACTGTTTGAGGCCAGGAGGTTGAGATCAGCCTCAGCAACATAGCCAGGCTGTTTATTTGCGCTATAAAAAACAAACTAACTGGCTTGGCGCCTGTGGCTCAAGTGGCTAAGGCGCCAGCCACATACACCTAAGGTGGTGGGTTCGAATCCAGCCTGGGCCCACCAAAACAACAATAATGGCTACAACCAAAAAGCAGCTGGGCGTTGTGGCAGGCGCCTGTGGTCCCAGCTACCTGGGAGGCAGAGGCAGGAGACTCGCTTGAGCCCAGGAGTTGGAGGTTGCTGTGAGCTGTGATGCCACAGCACTCTACCCAGGGGGACAGCTTGAGGCTCTGTCTAAAAAATAAATAAATAAATAAAAAACAAGCCAGGCAAGGTGGTGCATGCCTATAGCTACTTAGGAAGCTGCAGTGGGAAGATCATCAGAGCTCTGGAGTTCAAGGCTGCAGTAAGCAATAATCATGCTACTATACCTAGGCTAACAGAGCAAGACCCTTCCTTTAAAAAACAAAAAAAATCACTAAAAATTTCCAAAATAGTAAAAGTGATCCCAACCCCATCTTTTCTTAAGCAGAGGCAGGTCTTCAAAGCTGATACTCATATAAAGGACTATAAAAATTTTTGACTCAATGAAACTAGAAATACTGTAATTTCTGGCATATTCATTTAGAGAGCAAATAAAATGTCTGCTGCTCCTCTAAAAGGAAGGAAATCACGACATTTTCCTTGTGCTTTTACACTACTAGTCTTCTAAAAGTAGCATGTACTCCACCATTTCTATAATTTTTAACTTAGAAGAGGAGACACAAAACTATTTTAAAGACTGGTCATAAGAAAAATCTACCAATTTTACACAAAAGCATTAATATCTAAAGGCTGGAGTATATTTTACCAACTTAAAATATGTCGTATGTAATTTGTTTTTTTTTTTTTCCGTTTTTTGGCTGGAGCTGGGTTTGAACCTGCCACCTCCAGCATATGGGGCCAGCACCCCACTCCTTTGAGCCACAGGCACCGCCCCTGTAATATAAGTTTTAATCAGAAAATCAAGCCACCTCTAAAGAGTTTAAGTCAAATTTTAAAGAAAAAAATCCTAGTTCAGAGTGAAACAAACTTTTAAGTTTTTCTATAACTTTTTGGTCTGCAATTAGTAAAACTGAAGAATAGGCTTATGAAGTATAAAAATGAACAAATATACCTGCTTTACTTCACCTATTAAGTAAAATTTGTTGCAGTGCATTTTTGTTATTAAATTTTGATTCAAATTAAAAAAAATTAAATAAAATTATACACATTGTTTTCAATGTACTTAAAAAAAAAACATTTAAACATACCTGAATTACTTTGTCTACCTTTAAGTCTTCAAGAGATGGATAGAGAGACATTTTTGCAGGATTTGTCTAAAGAGGAAAAAAAACGTTTATTATTCGAATGTCATAGAAATTTAAGTAGTATACATAGCCAGCAACATACACATAAAAATATACAAATGATTAACACAATAAGAAACATGAATATTGCAAAACAGGTTAAAAAAAATAGAAACATCTAGGCCAGTAGTCCCAACCTTTTTGGCACCAGGGAAAGGTTTCATGAAGATGATTTTTCCGCAGTACAGGAACAGAGGATACCAGTCAGAGGGAGTGTTCAGGCAGTGATGTGTGTAGTGAGGAGCGGCTGTAAATGTAGGTGCAGCTTTTGCGTCTGGCCCAGCAGTTCACCTTCTACTGTGCTTATCCTGGCAGTATGAGTCCATCAGGTGGGAAACCACAGATCTAGGCCATACTGTAAGTTAACTTGTATTTCAGATTTACCAAAGTATCTCTCCCTCCACTACTTCTACTATTTAACTATGTCCATCACAGATTCTAATCTTCAAGTGGTCTTTTCATTTCACAAGTTTAGAAAAACCAATATATAAAACCTCTATCACTAGGAAAAATACACTGTATGTACATGTACATAGGAAAAAACAACATATACCAACTGTTAATAGTAGTTTTACCTTCATTAGATAAATGATGAAAGAATGAAAAATAAAAGGGAAATTTTTACTTTCCATTTTAAACATATCTAATATTGTTCAATATATTTTAGTTACTGCCGATTTTTTGAAATGATTTAAAACAAAATTTTCTAAAAGTGTCACATGGATAAATACATACTTTAAATTCTGTTTGGCTACTTTTAAATGAACACCTGGTACTTTCACTCAACTCAAAAAAACAGAATATATGCTAAACTGGTATAGGTTTTAACATAGACTCTTGAGCCAGCTGTCAAATCTTTATGTGCCATCTGAACTCATTCCTTATTACTCCCTCTCCCAAACAGAGCTGAGCCCCTCCAACACTGCACTGTGGCCAGCTGACATGCTAAGACTTCTCAGGAGAAGCAGGTGGAGATGCACTGAAAGAGGAAAGGGTTTTCTCTTCCTGGTTCCAAGGTGCTCCTATAGTATCTGCTTTCCAGCATCTTCTGTCCTACACCTAGCAGCTCACTCCAGCACTCTGCTGAGCAGCTGTGCAGAATGCCACCAACAAGGCATCTCCCCAGTAGGAGCTTTCCCAAGCACCACCCCACCCCCGCTGCCGTGCAACTTTAGAATGAATTCTAAGGTTCAGCACAACGGTGGGAGAATTTCCAGTAAGTTTCACCAGTGTAGTATCTTGGCAACTTACTTCTCCACCATCTACTGCTCCCTCACCAACAAGTTCTGGATCACAAGCACAAGATGAGGCCAGGCACTTCCATGGCACTCGATCTCAGCCCTGGAATTATTAAATCTACTCTTATGGTATTCTTTAAAGTTCCCTTGACTTCTTACTAGCCAATCTCCATTTCTTCAATCATGTTATAGGTAGTAATTATTTATATTAAACCACTGAGGCCAGGCCTGGTGGCTCATTCTAGTAATCCTAGCACTCTGGGAAACTGAGGCAAGATGGACTGCTTGAGCTCAGGAGTTTGGGACCAGCCTGAGCAAAAATGGGACCCTGTTTCTATTAAAAATAGAAAAACTAGCTGGAGTACTGGCACATGCTTGTAGTCCCAGCTACTCTGGAGGCTGAGGCAAGAGGATCGTTCGAGCCCAAGAGTTTGAGGCTGCTGTGAGCTATGATGCCATGGCACTCTACCCAGGGCAAGAGAATGAGATTCTGTCTCAAAAACAAAACAAAACAACCTTTCATTAAAAAATCACTATTTTCTATCTCCTGTGTATGAGTTTTTATTTAATGCATTATAAAATTCACTCTTAAAGTACACAAGTTAAATGGGTTTTGGTATATTTATAGACTTGTACAATCATCTCTGCCATGTAATCTTAGAGTGTTTCTCTCCTCCATGGAATGGAGAAGTGTAAGGTGTCTTATATCTCTCCATTCCATATGCCCTTTAGCTCAAGGCAACCACACAGACCACTTCTGCCTCATATCCACTCTAAACATTTAATGTAGAATCCTGGAACATTGGCCTTCTGTGTCTGGCTTCTTTTATACAGCATAATTATTTTCAAGGGTGATCAATGTAGAAGCAGGAATCTTTACTTCATTTTGATAGCTGAATATTATCCCATTGTAGGGATATACCGCATTATATTCACGCATTCATCACTTGATTACATCTGAGTTATTTATACTTTTGAGCTTTTACAAATAATACTGTTAAAGTGCTTATGAAGATTTACATTAGCAAATAATATACAGCTTTATGTAAGTTTTGGGGTAAATATATGTCTTTAATTCTCTTGGAATACAGCTAGGAGTGTAAAATTGTCAGACCATGTATTAACTCTTAAACTTTTTGAGGAACTGTCAAACTGGTTCCAAAGTGATTGCACCACTTTGCATTTCCACCAGTAACATACCAGGGTTTCAACTCTAGTCTCACCAACACTGTCAATGGTTGCAGCTTTGATTACAGCCAGACTAACGGTGTGAAAGAGCATCCCACCCTAGCTGTGATTTGCATTTTTCCTAATGACTGATGATGCTGAGCATTTTTCATATACTTATTGGCTATTTGTATAACTTACTATATATTTCTAGGTAGCTTCTATCTATAGACCAATATATATTCAAATCCATGCTCATTTTTTACCTGGGTTATTTGGTCACTTTTGTTGAGCGGTAACAGTTCTGCTTACATTCTAGATTCTTAAGTTTATTTGGTCTGCAAAAACAAATCACAGACTGTGTACCCTATCAACAACAGAAATTCACTTCTCACAGTTCTAGATGTGGGAAGTCCTAATCAGCTGTAAGGCCTAGTTCAAGTGCCACTTCTTCAATGAGGGCACCTCAGTTTGATATAATTTGCTCCTCTCAATTCAGCAGCTTCACTCTGCCTTACATTATGTTAGTTTATATGTATCTCCATTATCTGAAGGCGGGTCCCACATTCAGTTTCTTATTTACACAGCACAAATGCTTCATCCTCAAAGATGTGAAATGTTTGTTAAATGGAACAGTAAACAAGCTATTTTTAAACATTATTGAAAAAAATCAGAATATTCTTAGAGCAAGTCTATAATTTTGAACCTAACAATGTAAAAAGCTTTCCAGAAGAATAAAATGCCTGTATTATTTCTCTCATTAGGTCACATATATTTAAATCTCCAAGCTAATGCTAAGCATCAGAAGCACTTAGCCCATTTTAGAGAACCACAAAGCCACTCTTAGTAAACTCCTCCAGTTATGGCTGGAATTTCACAATCATCAGTAATGAGATTTAAGATTTTTGAAAATAACTATTACATCAGTGTAAGAATTCTTTTTTTTTTTTTTTTTTTTTTGTAGAGACAGAGTCTCACTATATCGCCCTCAGTAGAGTGCTGTTGCATCACAGCTCACAGCAACTTCCAACTCCTGGGCTTAGGCGATTCTCTTGCATCAGCCTCTTAAATAGCTGGGACTACATACGCCCTCCCACAACGTCCAGCTATTTTTTTGTTGCAGTTTGGCTGGAGCCAGGTTTGAACCCGCCACCCTTGGCATATGGTACTGGCACCCTACCCAGTGAGCCACAGGCACCGCCCAGTGTAAGAATTCTTACTTTATCTCACTTACAACTCCTATCAAATACTATTATTGTACCAGTTAAACTGCAGAATTATGTTTTTAGGCTGTCCTGCCAATTGAGTAACCAATAAGAAGATACAACACCCACGTCTGATAACAACCTTTCTGACCATAACTGCTTTTTGTCATCGGCCTAATTTCCCAGAAAAAAATGATGTTCCCCAACTACCCTTCAATCAGCTTTGCCCCATTCTACACTCTTTGCAACCTCCTTGACTCTCTTCATGCCTTATGAAAGCCCCCTGAACTCAGTGTATCCTCAATCCTTAAAAAATATTCCCAACTTAGTTTCTATTAGGGAGATTTCTCAGGGATTGAGGTAATATCAGGACTTTTTACGATACTAAAAGACAAAAAAAAAAAAAAAGCCTATTTCGCCTTAGTATCAAGTCTCCCATTTGTTATCAATCCCCTCAGAGCTGTATCAGGGCAATTTCTTTCAAGTCTTTAAATATATGCAGAGACCAAAGGCTCTCACAACTCAAGTACTACGTATGATACTTTCCAACAACTAGTTAATTTGCTTCTAGCTGCAAAACACTGATTAATAAAGTAGGAAAAGCAACGTCAATGTTTTCCAAATAATATCACCTGGAATAGTAATCCTCATCATTTTCTGAGTTACTGACCTCATCCACTCTCAAACCACCCACTATAACTGGCCTTGCTTAAAAATGATCTGTGATTGTTTAAATTAATATACTGCTTATTTGCTTGTTTGAATCTGAGCTATTAAACATATCTTAGGATGACAAAAATTCAATACTACAGAATCACCAATCTTAAAAATATGCACATATATATGACAGCTGATAAGCAATTAGCTGAATTCAAAGATGTCCTGAAATTTCAGCCTTCAAAACCAGGAAAACCTGGAATAATTTGGGTTTCTTTTGTTGCAACTGACATTAAAATGTCTAGCAGTGTTTCATTATCTCCTTATTTTTGCTTCTGTGAATTATTCATAAAATGACCAAAAAATGTCAAAAAGAAAAAAGTATCCATTAGACCTGGATGGTAAGCATTCCAGCTAATTCATAAATGGTGTTGAGGAACACAAACACAATCTGATAACATTCCAAACAGCTTCCAGAGGAGTGTTTCTCAAACCTGGCTAATTATCAGATCTGAATTACCTGGAGTTCTTACTTAAAAATAGCTTTCCAAGATGACATAGATTTCATAGAACTCAGGAGCTCTTTTTTTTTTTTTTAAATAAATACACAGGGATATAGCCAGAAATATATCTATATGAAGTCTACTCTAAGTAGAATAATTTCTTCTTACCCATAGAACTCCCATTTCTTACCTATGGAACTGACAAAAACCCAAAGTTTGACAAAACTCTGATAAGCAAAGCTTTGAGAAACACTCATAGGTTACTAGTAGGAATACAAACTAATACAATTTCCATGGAGAATGAGTTTGTAGTATCTACCAAACTTAAAAATTCAGATACCCTTCAAACCTACTAAAAACATACTTGCATGGGGGAAGCAAGATACATAAAAATGTATCCACAGCAGCACAGACTGAAATAGCAAAACACTGGAAACAAAGGGGAAAGATCCATTCATAAGTATATCACTTACTGGAAAACAGGGAAATACAAAGTATGCCAACTTTTGTGTCAAAAGGATGGAGGGATACCCTGTCTAGTACATTTGCCCATGTGGATATAAAACATCCCTGGAAGGAAACCTAAAAAACAAGAGTTGGCTGCCTACCACAAGGAAATGCAGCTGGCTGGAGCACAGAGAAGACAGACTTTCTAGTTTACACCCTATCTATACTTTTATACTGTTTAAATTTTTTTTTTTTT